AGAACCTTGACTCAGTTACCAAGATAGATCTTTTCTGATGTGGAAGATCAGACTATGCTGCAACCACAGAGCATACTTAGACAGTACCTTGGCTCTGATACCAATTGTAGCGGAAGCCAAATATATATAGTGTGAATGAGTCACAACAACTATACCAAAAATTATGACAACCACTAAATAATAAACAAGACAATAAGACAATAATAAAAGAACATCAGAATTTACGAGGTTCGGCCAATTTTGCCTACTTTTTCGGACACAATCAATATTTTATTCCACTCCAAAATTACAAGTGAAATAATACTAAAGAGAGAAGATACAAATGCCTTAAGAAGATAACAAAGGCAAATGAGAGGTGTACCTAAATCCTAAACATTAGGCCTCCTTTTATAGGGTGAAATTCCCATTCAAAATTGCCATCCACCGATGTGGGACTTTTGACAATTTCAACAAAAGTCATAGTCAAAGAATAACTCGCTTGACTCTAGAAATTCAAACTCTATCATTCTTTTTGGAAGAGATGATGTATTTGATAAGACACAAAGTTATATTTAAAGTACATTAGGATTTGCGAAGTTAAACGTATCATAACGTTGCTATAATTATAGAGCATGTCATTAAGAGTAAATAAAAATCTTAAGAAAAAACATTCTAAGAAAAATATCATTCTTTATAAAATAAATTAAAATTAAAAGAAAAAAGTATTATGCAAAATGAAATAGATGAAGTTAGCGGTGTTCACGGTTCAATTTGAATTGATTTTTACTTAAAAGAAAATCGAACCAACTATGTCTGTTTTTAATATACCAGAACCAAATCAAATTAATCAAGTAGTTTTTTCATTGATTCGGTTTTTATTAGTTTTTGTCTATTTTTTTAGTTTGATTGATTTGTTGGATAGTGGTGCGATCTCTTGGGAAGAGATTGCTTCGGAGGTCAAGACGTTCCCAACGTATTAAGAGGTCCTTACCTTAGACAAGCTGGTCATCAAGATTAGAAGAATCAAATTATTGCAAAGATACTCTATTGATATAACTTTAAGAAGAAAATAGAAAGGGAACACAGATATAATTAAAATAGAAACTTTTAGGAAATTAACAACATATTTGAGGAATAAAGAATATTATTACTGACCATATAAAGAATTGGGGGATTAGCTAAAGAGTGAATTCTGGCAGCTGATGGAGGTGGGCGATTCTACAATGAGGCTTTTAATAAAGGAAATCTTACATAAATGTCTCAAATAAGTCCCAACTTACCAATTTCTAGTCATTAATAATAAATTTATCAAAATTAGCCAAACACATATAAAAATTAAAAACTCAAATAAATAAGGTTATTTCTCTCCAAGAATCACACGCAAAGAGCTCCTTCCATATTTTTAAGCGTGATTAGCAAAATTAGATGCAAGACGAAAATATAATTTTATGGATGAGGTAGCAAATAAGGTGATGAAATATATATATANTTGAAATTCATTGAAAACATATAGATGAGTCAATATACAAATTTTGAGGAAGATTGTTGATATATAAAGTTTGAAGAAGATTGAAGGTGATTTGGACTAATTTGGTATAAAAATTCGTAGTTAAAATCGAGCTCATTTTTTTTTTCCTGCCACACATGTATCACTCATGTATCTCACTACATGGATGTACGTGTGATATACATTTGATACATATATGATACCTATGTGATACACAAATGATACACAATATTTTTTTTCATGTTCATCTTCTACTTCGAATTTTCAATTCAAACCACCTCAAAACTCCATAAAATCATCCCAAAACTGAGATTCAAGCTCCTTAAGATGTACCCAATCTATTCTAATAATACTCACTCAAAAGAATATAAGCATTTGACCTTTCTTTTGTTACAAATAGCTAATTGGCTAATATTGATACTATTTGACTATAGTAATATTTTATGAATTGACCAATTTTTAGAATAAGCTACTTCGAAATGGACATAGTTGGTAGTTTCGTACAATAAAAGGGGAAATGGACTTCAGTTGTAGAAGGTTTCTAATGTGAAAAGATTATTTTTTTCAAAAGTATACATTATATATATAAAAACTTATAACAAGGTATCCATATATATCTCTAGATGAAATAATAGAAAGTAGCAAGGGACATGTTATAACTTACCATCGCCATTGTCATTGGCCCACAAGACAATGAAGACATACTTAGTCATAGGTACGAGGATAATGGTATAAATGATGAGGGACAAGACCCCGAGAATGTCATCCTTGTGTCCAATATTATCAGTGAAAGTACTTGCATAAACGTAAAGAGGGGAAGTCCCTATATCTCCGTAGATAACTCCTACCGACTGAAATGCTAAACTCAATATTGTCTTCCAATCAGCCTGCAAATATGAATTACAGTCATTTCATGCATGCATTATCATCAATGACCATAACCAAGTTGTAATACAATCCTGGGATAAGAATTAACCTTATATACAGACAAAAAAAAAATTGACACATCCATTAATGTCATTTACAAGGTAACTTACTATTGGAAAACAAAATTCTAACTTGAATAGACTTACGGATAAATTAGAATAGCTTATGTTGAAGTCTTGAAGATACAATTAAATAAAAGAAAGTGTTCTCTCCGACAACTTAACTTTTTAAATTAAATGGTCACACAATTTAATATGGCATCAGAGCAGGCATAGGTACTTAGTTCAAGTCTTATGGTCACCTATTATCAAAAAGAATTTTTATGTGTTTGACCCATAAAAGAGAATAAGGTCTAAACATAAGGAGGCGTGTTGAAAATATAATATAGAAAAAATAAAATTATATTCTTTCTAACAACTTATACTTTTAGATGAGATGGTCATATAATTTTAACAACTTTGATATTATCCTTTGTAACAACTCCTTAGACCCAAAATCTTGTACAATATTTTTCAGGTTACTTATTCATGTTCAATGTAAAAGTTACTTGCAATTACTGTTTTAGTTACCTAATTATAATATTCTTATTATTTCTTTAACTTTTATACATTGGCAATCAAAGTAATTTTTTATATTATTAGTTCGCCTAAAGGATAGCTACGTCTCACAATAAGTAGAGTAAGTAACTTAAAAAAAAAAAAAGGTTACCAATTATAACATGTTAAATTATAGTATAAATATTTTGTACATTATCTGTATATTATATAGCATATCCAAGACTTTGAGAAGATAAGTGCACTATTACGAAATGTTAAATCTAAGATTTTAATTTGACAGATGCAATCTTTAGGTTTAGGTTATTACCATTAAATTTGAAGTGCTAAAATTTTAAACAATAAACCATTCAAAGAAAGAAAAACAGTACTACTTGATTAAAACACAATAAAGGTACACTAGATATTGGGGGAGGATCCAATTTCTTTTAAGGTAAATACATATACAAGAATTCTACCGAAATTCGCGGAGTTTAATAACCCCTCAATATAACACATAAGTCTTTTATGCTAGTATGCTAGATATGCTCATTTCCAATAGGTGGGCCTAAGTCTAGAAAAAGAAAGTAAAACAAAAATGTGGGACTTGAACCTCGGACCTCACCTATAGAGATACATTTAGTAACTATACTACTCACTCCGTCTCATATTATCTGTCATTATTCTCTTGTACACGTCCCTTAAGAAAAATTAATTAGGATGAGATTTTGACTACTTTACTCTTATTTGTGTCTTAATATTTAATCTTTCTTCATTGGTATTTGATCAAAGTTAATCATAATTGGGGTGTTTGATAATTATTATTAAGGGTAAAAAGGAGAAAAGATAATCAATTTTGTCTTGAATTTCTAAAGTAACAAATTATTTGAGACAACTATTTTTAATAACCAGATTGATAATATGAGATAGAGGGAGTACCATATAATTTATTATTGGGTACACACACACATGTTATATACAAGGTCAAAGGAAGAGATCATGAGTGCATGTGAACCCATACCCTCAGAGGCGGATCTAGTATTTGAACTTTATGGGTTCAAATTAAATTCAGAATTCTATCACATCGCGTCTAATATACTGGGTTCAAAATCTATTTTTGCACTTATTTAACTAAATTTTTAACACATATAAAGAGCCTAAGCTAAAGTCAGATCTTCTTTGGTCCGCCCTTGCATGCCCTCCACATAAATTTGCCACACTGTATATGAGTTAAATCTATTTCTTACACTAATTATGTATATAAGTTATTAAACTCCATACATAATATATTTACCATACTGAAAATATATATAACCTAAACTCTATACTACTATAATAAAATGTGAAGTATGTACCTTAGAGGCGTGTCTTGCCGGAGAGTCTGAAACTTTTCCAGCTTCCAAGTTGAGTGAGTCTACACGGTGTAACTTCGCCCATGAGACTTTCCGATCCTTGAGCTGACCGTTTTCTGCAGCCTCTTCTCTATCTGAGCTTGCCATTTAGATTCACTCGGGCTTTCACTTCTCTTTCCTTTATATATAGTCCCTCAATACATTGAATATTAGCCCGATTCCCATCCTCTTTAATACAGTATTTTGTACTTGCAGCAATTATTATAATATATTTAATACAGCTCATAATTTGTTTATATAGCTCGTTTGGAGTAAATATAGGTTTTGTTGTCACCATCCCAAGTCTTTGTAAAGACTTTTTCGATCATTACTATGTATGTAGTACATACATGCAAATAAAGCTTCCACTGGAATTTCAAGGGATTCCACAAAAATGTAAGAATTGACACACTATGATTCAAATTTATGTCCTAGAATAATTCTTAAATCTTACTATGTCAAGACGACTCAAAAGCTTCCATTTTATTTAAAAAGAATTATTTAATTTATGCAATATATTTTTCAAACAAAAGTGATTCAATTGAGCTACTCCGCTAAACCTGGCTTCTAATATTTTCGACACAAAAACAAGTCTTATATATGCAGAACGTCGTGTATATACTGCATATGTATCTTGAAAATGGATTTATTGCTTTCATTATATCACTGTACAAAGAAAAACAATTTGTTGCATTCCTAACGTCACCATACAATGAAAAAATAAAATAAAAATTTATTAATTAAGAAGGTCGAACAAATAATAAAAGAAAATATTAAAATTTTTAAAAATTAATACTTATTACAATTCTATTCGACGTGAAATGCACTTTTGAAGGATAAAATATCAAATTTTGAACTCATTATCTTAAATATACTATTCTCCATTCACTTTTAGTTGTCAAATATTTTAAAAATAAATTTTCATTTTTACTTGTCATTTTTCGCATATCAAGAGAAAAATTATTTATTTTTTCTGTTTTACCCTCAGTATTAATAACTCATTCCAAACCATTTTTCAAATCCATTAAGACTATACACTAATTAATATAGTTATCATGATAAATTATACACTTTATTTTTTATTTCGGCGTGCAAAGTAAACAAGTAAAAGTGAACGGAGAGAGTATTAAAGTTTAGGGTAAGTGACTGTGAATCAGACAAGTTTAAATGGTTGATCAATCCTGCTCCCTTCTAACCTTCCCTTTCTTTATACGCATCTTTTTTAATCATTTCAGCATGTACCTTAAAGGCTTAAACACATGTATGGGGTATCATTATTGTGGTTTTATATGTCTGACCATTGAATTCTTCAACGAAATTGATTGTTATATGTGGTAGCAGTGAAATCAACTAATTTATTGTCTCTCTCGATCTTGCTGTTTTAAAATATTGCAATAACTAAACACCAGCGACTTCTTCAGTCAAACATCACACGGAGAAAGTAAGTTATTTCATGATTAATTATCTCAAAATTAGTTATTTTGAGTTATTTATTCAATTTCTCATTGGGATAAAAAACATTACAATCTCAAAATAATTAATTCTGAAATTAGTTATACCACGATTTTATCTCAACCAAATATGAGACGTCTCAAATTTAAATCCGAAATTAATTATCACATAACCCTCGTATACCAAACCAGCCCTAAGAAAACGAGATTGTTCAGTGTTCACGTTAGCTAGATAGAGATATTTTCGGGAAAAGTTATGTCAATTTACCACAGCAAAGAGGACATTATAATGAAAGAAAATAAATAAATCTAACAAGTGCTTTGCCAAGAAACCAAAAGGATACAACAGTAGTCATATACTCCTGTTTTAAAAAGAATATATCTATTATTATTTGAAAAGATAAATTAAATTTTCTTTGATCATGTTCTTCGTAAATAATTTTTAAATATTTTAAATTATTAAATATTTTGACTTATATTATTTTTATATAATTTTTAAGTATATAAATTTTATTTTAAAAATATTTAAAAGAACCTATATTCAAATTCACACTGAAAATTAGTCAATTTGACATTCTGAAAAGATTTAAACAAATTGAGCGAATATCTAGTTAGCACCTTTTTCATAACAGACAAGCGACCCAATATCTTAAGTTCATAGTGATTATACATATAGAGCAGGTGTTTACTAGTCCACTGGTTATATGGTGTAACACATTTAGGTTGAATTAACACTTTTAAATTCACAGTGACAGCATGTGCATATATTTAAGTAGGGGTGTACATAATTTTATACATACCACATTATCGAATCAAAAATTTTGATATTCGATATGGTATTTGATTTTAAATTTTAATATTTTACGATATTCAATGTTTAGAGAAAAAATATCAAATACTGTATTGAATACATATTTATGTTCACAATAAAATTGTTAGATTATAGCATAAATATTAAGCTTAAAATTTTGAGAAGCTTGCTAGTGTGAAGTAACTATATAAACATTGACTACATATTTTCTTTTTGGTCTTTCTAATTAATCAAGTTAAAAAATTTATAGCATGTTCTGGGTGCATTAATGATTTTGTTTCCCTTTCGGTGAAAGAAAAATAGCAATTGGGTCATAAGCTACAAGTACATTCTTGTGATATTTGATTTTTTATTTGTTTACCCTCAAAATCGGATAACAATTAAATTTGTAAGTAATTTTAAGAATATGCGGATTAACTTGATACAAAGCGATGAACTAAGTTACTATTGAACAAACAAAGATAAAACAAATTCAAACCACACGACTTGGATAGTTTCAGCCTTAGTGAAATAGTCACTCTCGAGTCAGGCTCACCACGACCGACACCAATGAAAAAGAGCAAGAGCTAGTGACAGAGAAAATAATAATATATCGCTTTTGAGTGCCTGTTACCACGTCCTTCATGAATTATCAGACCCCCTTTTATATAGTAGGGGAGTCCTACTTTAAGTACAACTCTATAAAAGGTAAATACTCTTCTGATTTACTGATTGCCAGTTCCTTATCGATACGTACTGAGATCCCAGCTGTGATATCCAGCCGTCACGGATATTTCGGCATTCTGTTGGCTATGCTTGATTGTCCGACAATGTTTTTCGAAGTCGTTCGAGGCTAGGATCGATTTTTGAACCATGACCTCGACATTCTCGAGGGCAGATGTCATGCCCTCGGATTCTGGCTCGGTGGGACCTTTAGCTCGATTTCGGTCTTTTGCCACCATGTATCGAGCCTGGCTTATCTTGTCGGAGGTAGGGATGCACCATGAGCTCGATTTTACCCGTATACAGATACTCCCCTCGTTTCTCGGAGAGTAAACGATGAAAAACGACATGAGCTTCCGATTCTTACTTCGACACATCGCGACAGAAATGACAAAACATCTGAAACGTCTTGTCAGTCAAGTCATAATGGCATTAAATGCATGTCAGCCGCTGGTCGGCCGGCCCTGGACGTGAAACGTCACTGAACTACTATAAATACCCCCTCTTTTATTCATTTTTACTTTACATCAAACCTTCTACCCTCATACCCTCAGGATTTCAATACTCTTTAGCACTTTTACCCCTGTTACTCGAGGTCCTTTGCAAGAATTTTTACCCATCTTCTTCTCAAGCCAACAAGTCTAATTCTTTAACTTCCTTTCTTTCCTCATCTTTCCTAGATTTTCCTCCATTTTTACTTTCTAAAGGAATGGCAAAGACTTCCAAAACCGTTCCCCAGAAAGAAGTTCCTTCTACTTCGCGGCCGACTACTGAGATCGAGAAGACTGCTTCGAGCGAGGCCGTTGATGAACTAGTACCTGAACCCCCCTTGAAAATGTTCATCCCCGGAGGATGCTCGGTCAACTAATATTTCATGATTGAAAAGCCTTCCTCCGTACAAGGTCGGTGTGAGGAGGTCTCGAGATACATCTGCTCGATTATCGAAGAGGTACTCCCTACGGTCCGAAAAGACTGCAATTAGGCTGATAAAGACATAGTGGTCCCCGACCCCGAAGAGGCCATTACCACCTATGTCTAGGGATATCTAAGTATTTACACTTATCCCTTTACATTGGGCCCGGTAGACCCAGTCATTTTAGATTTCTGCAAGAGGTACAACATGTGCCTAGGCCAGATTCATCCATCACTTTGGAGAATCGTGTTCCCCCTCCGATTTTTTGTGAGAAAAATCGATGGGTGCTCATTCGCCATTGATCATCTACTCGGCTTATACAGCCCCCTAATCTTCTAGGGGCTAATAGATCTTGTACGTCGGGCCAGTAAAGCCCCGTTCTCAAGTATCGATGAGGACTGGGATTGAGGCTGGCAAGGCCATGTTGTGCGAGTGAGAACTTCGGACTTGATTCCGGCTGAATGCAGGCCATTCCCCGAGAAGTGGAATACGTCACGTAAGTAGAACTTTCTTTAGAATGTTGGTTTCATGTTTACTTCTATTTTTCTTATCAGTATTCGTGGTGGTGCAGTCGTCGCTCGGGTCCCAAATGTTGTCCCTCGACTCAAGGAGTAGTTCGACGGTATCATTTCACAGATGCCCTACTCGGAGCGCTCATGGCGCAAACTCTCAAAGAGCCGTTGGAAGGCCCGTTCCCATGGTGAGACTTCTTTCCCGAGTAGGTTGTGTTAGGCTTCCTCTTTTAACATTAAGCCCTTATTTCCTTTACTTCTTTTTGCAGGCTTGCCTAAGGATGTCGAGCTTAGGCCTCTAGTCGGTGGAGAGGACTTACCTGTTGAGTCTCATGCTCCGGGATAGGCCGGTGAGAGGAAAAGGAGGAGGGCTCTGAGTTCCCTGAGCTCGGAGAAAAAGAAAACAAGGAGAAGGCTAGTGCACAAGCCAAAGGAAAACACCAGCTCCCGAGCACCTGCTTCAGACTTGCTCTATCGGCTGAGGGATGAGTCCGAAGGAGAAGAGCCTTTCATTTTTGTGGCCCACGAGCCGTCGCCCCCTCGAAGAGTAGGGGGCCGTTGAACCAGAGATTAGTGAGGCCGATCTGCCTCAAGCCAGGGAAGTCGATGAGGAGGCCGGGGCTGAGGCTTCCCAGGATGCAGACAGTGCCCCGAAGGAGGAATTTGGCGTGATAGGCATCACCGAGTCACCCTTATTTACCGAATCCATGTACAACGAGGCCCAAACGATGAAAGAACGCCCCAACGAGGGGGCCCACGGAGCAGA